TATATATATATATATATAAAGAGGATATATATATTTCTTTATTATACTTTTTATTATATTTATGCAATAAAAAATGAGCTCTAAATATATATTTAATTGAAATTTAATATAAATTTAAGATGAAATTGCTCATACACACATGATCGATGATATAATACAATTGTTTTGACTCATATAAAAATACTATAAATATTGGACATCTACTACATATTATTGGAATCCTAACCTATATCGATATCGATAATCGCGCGCGAAAATAATTGATTAATCGTGGCTATATATCATGCGAACAGATTCGAATGTATTTTAGTGGTGTTTTAATTCAACACGTACGTATTCGCATCGTAGACTTACCAAATTGTACATTCCAAGGACTTCTGCAAACTTTTCACAGTTTCGGATAGTTGATCAATGTCACTATTTTGAATTTGTTCTGCCATTATTTCTTTCACGGTTAACTCGCACAAACTTGTTATCACTGATAAATTGTGAATGATTTTTGCCTGAGAAAAATCGGTCCTCGAATGAATTAGAAAAGTTGTTCAGCACCATTCGGTACTACGCCCGACGCCCGGACCATCTTCACATCACTTCGTATTTCGAATAAATAAAAACGAAGTTGACAATGCGCGGGAATTTAGCGACTGCAGCGCTGCTACGGATCACTGCATCGATTATTATCTACGCCCGTTTCGAATCGGGATATATATATATAAAGATAGAAATCTATATACAAAGTTCTCGTAGCCAATTATATATGATCTACTTTTTTTAATGTGGTTTATATTTGAGTTAATAATACGAATGTATAATATTTATTAATTATAAGTAATATATGTGGGCGTACACACACACTCAGATATATATAATACAAGAAACAAAATTAAGCATTTAATCATCATATTATTATGAAAATATCATTTAAATCTCAGATATTATACGTAAATTAATAATGTTATTAACAAATTACAAATAACAAATAAAGGATTAAAAGAGAATTACGAAGACTGAATTTATATTTGAAGAATAACTCATCATATCTAATAGATAAAACTTCTATTTTTACCAAATTTTAATTTTATATTAATGTTAACTGAAACAATTTTTTTAGCTGTTAAACCAAAACAATTTTAGCAAATTACAACAATTTCTTTAAATAAACAAAAAATTTTGTCTTACTTTACATATTTCTTCTTGTAACGTCCACTTCGACCAAACTCCGATTAATTAACTTACAAGGTGACCAATACAAAAATTTCTAACGATATGATATAAATTTCTGCTTTTGGTCATCCTGAAGTGAATCAACCAAAGTCTGGTTACTTTATTCAATTTTCAAGTGCAATCATAGATTGCGGTTGAGGAGACGCTAGAGATGTTTCGAAGTGTTTGATTAGCCAATCCGAATAAAAAGATCAAAGATTTCTTTATCTTGATTGGTTAAGTGCCGGTCTACAATAGGCGATTTAAGCCCTAAACCTTATGACTTAACCTCTAAACTATGACGTATTTTCGGCCTTAAATATTTCTCGCGCTACCTTAAGCCCTAATCTCTAAGCCCTAAGCGAGTTGGCCAACTCCCATCTTTTAAAGCTTAGAGCTTGAGGCTAGGATCGATGTAATTTTTCTCTTAAAACAAAGGCTAAATCTTAAATCACCTATTGTAGACCGGCACTAATGCAATGTTTCAAACACATCTCTAGCGTCTCCCCGACCGCAAAGTCTTAGTGCCAGTCTACAATAGGTGATTTAAGCCCTATACCTTAAGAAATTGACGAATCACAATCAAGTATGAGAAGAATACTCGACTGTGATTAGTCAATTTCTTAAGGCTTAGGGCTTAAATCACCTATTGTAGACCGGCACTTATTGTTAAAGTGAGTGCGCCGATCTTATATCACGCTCGTTCATGCTTGAAATAAGTAGTTGGCGCGAAATCTGTAATAGACGATAATTGCGAGTCTCGAGTGCGGTGTCGTGTTGGTATGATTCATTTCGACGCGAGATGTGTGCATTTGCGAGTTATATTTCGTAGATTATCGGTGTAGAATATCGGCAGTAACGATGTCTCAACTGCAAGGCGATGAAACATCCTCCAGGTAATATTTTTGGTCCGCCTTTTTTGGTTAAAATCTTTTTAGCTCCGCGGCAACGATCGACGCCTCTCTTGAACCGACATCGATTTATTGAAAGAAATTGAAGTAGAGTCTTTTGATATTAAAATATTTAGGACACACATACATATGTAAACGCTATATAAAATATATTTTTTTCTTTAAATAAATAAAAATTTAGCTTATATTGTATGTTTTTTGCATTGAAATACATATTAGAATAAGCGTTAAGATCCTTAAAATACACCAGGATTCTCGTGTGCGTTTGTGATTCAAACGTGAAATCGACACGAAGCTATAGTAAATGATTATTGCGAATCTAAAGTGATGTCATTTCGTGTTATACTTGTATCGGTGTAGTTTGTTCGGATATGCGGATTTATGACTAATATTTCATAAAATATCGACAGTGATGGTGTCTCAATTACATGCCGATGAAACATCCACCAGGTAATATTTTTAAACCTGATTTTTGGTTAAAATCTCTTTAATTTTGTAGTAGCAACCATCTCGAACCGACAGCGATCGACAGCGAAAACTGGAGTGTTTTTTGATATCAAAAAACATTTTAAGACACATATGCAGAAATGTTACATAAAAAGCCACGTTATTATAAATTGGTGCCTCTTTAACGTCTAAAATAATTTTAATATTATTATATGGTGCCTCTCACGTTTAAAATAATTTTATTATTATAATTGATATATCTGATATAATTAATTTTGTGCGGAAACATGTTTCTTTTTATCAAATTTATAAAAATTTGATATTATTATTAATTCCTTGCTATTTTTTTTTAAATTAATTTCTAAATATAAATTGTAAAAGATTTATTTGTATATGTGGTACATTTTTAATTACTTAAACTCTTTTTCTCTGTTTTTATACAAAATATTTAAATAATTTTTTTTTTATATAATTTATAATGTGAAATATAATATATTCATATATTATGAGATCGAAGAACACATTGTGGTTAAACAGCGTTTATTGATTATATATGTTGAGCTTATAATATAATTCATTGTATTATTCAATTAATTCTCATACATTGTCTATTAATTTCTAATGGTAATAGTTTGCTAAAATTGCATTCACGAAATTAACACGAAATAATGGCTGAAAAGCTTCATTATAATATTGTTATTTATAATGTACTGATGAACAATGAATTTTATACATACACGTATATGTTCACGTTTCAGATTTTTATATTTATTCTTAATTTATTATCGACAAATTAATTAAATTGCAATTCTTTGAATTTTATTAGTGAAACTGTATCGTTTTGCCTGTTAGGCATAAAATTTTTGAAATTAATATATTTTCTAAAATATTCGCAGATGACACGCACACGTGCGTTATTTTCAACGACGTTGAAAATATTTTATTTAAATATTACAGAGCGGTAAATTATTGTCTAAATACAAATAGAAGAATAATTTTAGTTAGTAGACTTTGTTGGATTAATAAAAAATGGGGAAACAATAAGTTATATATAGCGATACAATAAATCGGAGGAATTCGATATACATATATAATTTCGCCATTATATAAAAATCTTAGAATACGGAACACAAACGCGACGTCACAATCTTTTGATCTTTTTGCGAATATGAATATAATCCTTGTCTGCCAGCCAGCCAGGATTCATACTGACGCGTTCATGCATAAGCCATTTACTGGTTTACGGAAACGTCGGAAGCTCCGGCGATTATATAGGATGGCGGATCTTGCGGAAGCCGCTCCCGGCGTAGGGGGTTTCAATTATTCGTATCCCTCTATGATGTAATTCGCCGATACAGGAAATTTTCCACCTTCCGCGGTTAACCATGTAGGCGTTTGCAATCTCCTCGCGGAAAAGCTTTTACATGTTGATATACGGTAAACACGACTTTAAATAATTGTTTTAATGTATTAAGATAAATATTTAAAACAAATTAGCTAAGTTCTGAACAAATTACAGTTGTATCGGGGCAGAGTGTATCGTGATAAACATACATAATTTCGAAACTGTAAATCTATATTTTATTTTTTCATTGATATAAATGTATACATCAATATTAAACGCTTGCAGCCTGATGATAAATTCAATTTCTATTTTTAATCTAGTCGGCAAAAATATTTTTTCAACTATAAAATTTTAATTGGAACTGTAATTTGTTTTTTCAGTCCCGCGCAGCACTAGCCGTTGATTTCTACATATGTGAAGTTATGAACGACGTCGTCATGTAGCATGATTCTTCGCGGAACGACCTGTTGATGAAATATGGGGTGGTTCTTTCTTGCCAGTATTTTGCTGCTCTCCTTATGCGGTAAGTATTAAAAACATAATTTAGACTCTTACATAGAAACATGTAATATTAGAGTATTACATTGTGCTGCGATTTTTTATACAAACAAATCTGCAAATACCTTAATTAAATCATAAAAACTTCATTATAAAGTCGAAATATATATACATTGTACCTCTCATAATTTGTGAGAAAAACTCTATATATGTATATTTGATATTTTTTCTTAATATTTTTAAATTCCGACATTGATTTACATTTTTATTTAGAATCAATTTAAATTATTCTGTTACTGATTGTTTTTAGAAATACACAAGAATCAAATAAACTATTACATCAAATTTAAAAGTTTGAATTGTTGAATATCAGAGAATATTATTCGTGCAAAAATATATAGAATATTATTTATGAATTATAAATTATTATATATATATATAATAACGTAGATTTTCGCGCGATTAATGTGAAATTTCGCGCTTAATAAACAGTCCAATGAATTGTGACGCAAGCAATTTATAACGCATACTAATTTCTGAAATCATGAAATATTGAAGTCTCAATTTATTTGTTACCGTTTTGCGAAATTATGCAATCAAAAATTCAAGCGGCACCAAAGATAAAAAAAAAAGTGCTTCCATAAAAATAGCAATTACTGTCATGATTGGTTAAAACAAAATTGATAACTGCGCGGATTCAATAATTCCAACCTCGATACAGGCTACAAGCGTTTGATTTTAAATTATGCTTTGTTTAAAATTTTCGATTTTCTATTTCTGGCTAAAATTGTGTTCATCGTGCCGCGAAATCGAAATTTTAATCTGCATAGGCAGATTATTCAACATTATTGGATAAAGAATAATAAAAGAGAATTTCTTCATAAAAAATATTTACATTCTTCATACTTTTGCATTAAGGATGCTGCGAATCCGTCAATCACATATTTCGCAAGCCTGATGGTAAAAATTAACTTTTCACCCTCATATACATATACATATATACATATATGTATTGCAAAGGATTCGTTGGGCACTCTTGGCACGAACAATGCATGCGACCAAAATAGCATTTGACATTCGTGTTGATTCACGTTTCAGTAAATTTATATTGCAACAAATATTAAATTCAATTTAAAGAGGAAAGCTTAAATTATTGAATTTATAAATATGCGCTTAAATCTCTTGAAAAAATAGGTCAAGTCAGTTCCGAATAATAATGAGTGTATCTTAGTAGTTGTGAAATGATAATACTAAAAGTTATAATTGTCACCCATTCAATCAAGTTCGATTTAGCAACTGTTAGAGAGAACGCAAATTGGAAATTTTTTTTCTTCCCTTTATTATCATGATTGATGATTGCCTGATATCAATTCATAGCGAGTGAAGCGTGAAATACGATTATGAAGTAAATTTGATGATGTACATTTATTGTTCGCATTGAAATTTTCTGAAAAGTGGATCAAGCGAGTTTTGTGCGATTTTACATATACACAATACTTATGTGTTCACTATATTTGCACATTATTTGACGAATTCCAAACGATGCGGTCTATTAAATTCGCTTTGCAACAGATATTGAAACCGGCGAACCTTGAATTCTTATATTCAAAAGAAAAGGATTATTGAACGGACAAAATTGGTCTCACTAGTAATTTTTTTTTTTTTTTTTTTTTTTTTTTTTTTAAAATTTGAGCGATAGCATCTTTAATAGAAAAACAGAGATGATATATTTTTTATCGCAATTTTACAATCTTAATATTTATTTATAAGTTTTTTTTGATAAATCAGATAACGTACGCGATCATGAAAATTTAAGAGCAAAGAAAGTTTTACATTGAATTAAAATTAATTATTATAAACATAATTCTGTTTTTTCTTCTATTGCAAACATTGTAATAGAAGCATTTCAGAAATAAGATGTGTAAAAGCTAATTAAGAAATAGGAAAATAAAACTAATATATCAGAACAAACAAATCATATTATACTAACTCTTAATAAACTTATTCATGTTTAGCTAATTTTAAATTTACATTTAACACATTTATAAAATGTATAATTGTAATATTATTCTGAGATAATGATAAATATAATTATTATTCAATAAATAGAGATATTATGCTAGCTACGCTGCATAATTAATTATGATAATTATGACATGTATAACTAAATTATGATTTTACAATCATAGAATTTTCATTTATATATTTATATACATATCTTTATAATTCTTCGCTGTTATAATTGTCATTATTCGTTCACTCTGACAATGAGTGGATCCTTAAATGCGATTCATCACTCACCCCTGTAAATTGCCCATCAGTGCATTTACATCAATGTCACCTCTTGACCCAATAGCAGATTGAAATCCTATCGACCTCTAAGCATATACATTAGTTTTGAGAAATATATTGATACAGAATAGAAAATATCACATTTTAATATTTTTATCTTCTTAATTTGCTATCTCTTGTTCTTTGTTGATTATGATTATCCGTGATTGCCAAAATTAAATGGGGACTAATCTATAATATATTAACGAAAAAAATTACTTCTCTTGCAAGTTTATAAAACAAATTCTGCTGGCCCCATGTATTCTTCTACTTTAAAAATTCTTAGATACATGTATTTCTTATAAACAAAGTTTTTTGTCTTTTGTGTGAGACTCAAAATAAAACTTAAAAATCTTAATATATATTATATATAAGGACATTAATAAATAGAAACCTAGGATGCGGGTAAAATGCATAATTTAAATAGTTTTATAATAAATCATTGATTTTTGGTTTTCAAGTTCGTATATATATATATGCGTGTGTGTGTTGCTTTTGTAAAATTAATCTTTTCACAAAAAAGTTTAACCTTTTCAAATTTTTATAAATCAGCTTTATATATAAATTGTAAGCTTTTTACAAATTTAAAAAAGCTTTTTACAAAAATTTGATGTTTTATAAAAAGGCTGAAGATTGATTTTACAAAAAAACTTACAATATAAATATTTAAATTAAGTAAACTAAAAAACCAAATTAATAATTTATTATAAAAACACTTAAATTGTGCTTTTTATTCGCATTTCACGCTTTCTATTTTCGAATGTTCCAAACAACTGAGAAGCCAATAAAAGCCAAGCATAAGAATAATGTTGTTTACCAACCGTTCTCTGAGAAGATAACTAATAGTTTCATGAGCTTTTCGAAAATGTTAGATAAGCAAAGGTAAGAATGAAGGAGAAGAATGTGTATAATCCATAATCGTGAATTCCCTTTCTCTCTTGACGCCCTTTCTCTCTTCGATCGAATGCGAATCTATAGTTTAACAGCGCACGCCCTACCTGTATATTTCATGCTGCTTCCTGGGAATCGCCCTGGCACGGAAAAGCGGCTGGAGCGCCGATGCCACAGGGCGGTACTGGAGGTACAGGGACCCACGGTCAGGCGCAGGTCGGTTCGTCGCCGAGCACCCCGGGCCCCGGCGCCGTTGGTTCTATCGGTGGTGCTATCGGAAGCGGCGGCGGCGGCGCTACCGGCTTCGCCACTGGGGCTGCTGGAGCTGCCTCCTTCGGTCTCGGTGTAACCGGTGGATCTATCGTTGGATCAACCGGTGGTGGAGCCGGTGGTGGTGCCGCCGCGTCCGGAACCGGATGGTCCAAGGGGCCCGCTCGTCGGGGTCGCGGGTGGCGAGATTGGCGCCGCGGCGATCCTACCCTCATCAAGGGCCTGTGGAAAGAGTCAAAGGGTCCTCTAGGTAAATGGACTTATGCTAATCTCATTCGATGAGGTTGCTTGTGATTTGTGTTGTTATAAATGTTTGGGAATGGCTGTTGTATAATAGAATCTTAATGGATACCTCTCGGCGATATTTCTTTTGTTAAATGCTTGTTCGAGAAAGGAAAAGTTATAGTAACGCGCGTAACCAACATTTAGACTCTTCACGGAGGATTTTCACAACTGTCATCTTTTAATTTTTTTTAGATAACTTTGACTTCAAATATTTTACTTTTAATAATAGCATTAATTGTATATGATAAATGTGACGAGTAGGATACTCTTTTTTTTTTGTTCTTTCGTTTTATATTGTTTCTTATTTATGGAGATTTCTCGGCATAAAATACAGATTTCACGCTTTAGCAATTCTACAGAAAGTTGTTAATTATTCCTCCGATATGTCTGTCATGCACATCTTGTATGATAGTTTTATTGTTACGTTTTATTGTTGTGTAAAAACATTTGCTTTAAGATTGTGCTATTTTTGCTTGCTGTAATTAAAATTTTGCATGAATGTATCTTAAATCTGATAGTTTAGGTAATTTTATGCTTTTTTGATATTATGTTTATCGTTAATTCAAAACTAGATATTATGCCTAGAATCAATATATTTATAGGAATATCTGTAAAGAAAGATTGATTTTTTGATTAATTCATACTTTTTTGTAGATATAATTCTCATGAAAACCTAAATCATCAAAAATTGCATTCGCGCAAATGATGATGACATAATACGGATGCAATTTATATTATATACTCGTTTACTTCAGGCTCCATTGATTCGATGTTCGTAGCGGAATAATAATCTGTAAAACTTTTTTATTTTTACTTTGGTGTAACAACACCTGTCACGAAATCTCATATCACGGTAGTCGAACCATAAAGCACGTCTTGCAATTTCTCGAAAGTTAGTTTGCCTGTTCGCGATCATGTGCTCGCCTGAATGGCAAGAAAATCGATAAAAAAATATCGGGTGAGCTTCTCCAGAGAATTTCCAGTTATATCGGCACATTCTCTATTAAAAAAAAGAAAAGCGCAAAAAAATCGATAAAAAAATATCGGTGAGCTTCTCCAGAGAATTTCCAGTTATATCGGCACATTCTCTATTAAAAAAAAGAAAAGAAGTAGAATTTTAGAAGTGAAGTAGAGTTTTTTTAAATTTTAATGTGCGAGAATAACGTTCTGCATATTATCCGATCGAAGTTTAATCATTCACGTAATCGCCACGATTTCAATTAAATTATCTCAGAGGACGTTCGCGTATAGGAAAGGAAAATAATCGGATTAGAATCTAGTTAATTTCCGACGATATTTGAATTTTATCGAGGAACGTTTTGTACCGTTTTGCGGACAGAACTAGTTATGCATTTTGTTTTTTGCATCCAGTAACAGTCATTCACTGGTATTGATGTTAAAGTACCAGAGTAGAGATATAATGCCGATGGCTGTGAAAAATTCATGAAACGAACAAACGAAATGGCGTTTGTTTGTTCGCGTTCTCCGTCGGCTTGAACCTGTTTTAACTTTCAAATACGGCTCTGGCCGTGGAAGATCTCTTTCGTTTTGGAAATTTCGAATTTTCATCGCAGATTAGGGTTGTACTTAGCCATAAAGATTTAAAGTCACCTGACTTTCGAAAAAAGCAACATATGATAACCACACAATATGATATTAATTCTCCATTAAAATAATTAATAGGAGTTAATATACGATTAATATAATTAATAGAGAAGTTTTTCAAGTTAATTTACTGTTATATAAAATGTTTGTCAAAAAGATCGTGTAATATATATATTATAAAATGGTCAATACTTAAAAAACTATTATATTTTATATTAAAACATTTTCTTTTTAATATTAGATTGCTGGAAATATTCAGTAATATTTTTTATATAAATTATTATATACATATATAAATTAACATAGCATATTGTAGCTTTACACTCTCACCGAATGAACTTGCAATCTATCAATCAAATATTGATTAATCAAATTCTCAGTTAACTGAAACTGAAACTTCGAAACATTGCTGATCGATTTACTGTTAGCACAGTTTGCTGCAATTACTGGCTATAAACTAATTAACTTGCTCTGTTTGTTGTCTTTGAATCCGTTAATGCAAAACGAGCAAAAAATGCATTTACGTTTCAAATCTAAATCGATTTGAGCCGCCTGTCTCTATTTTCAAAAGCCGTAATTTGTTTTCCAAAATCACACATTCTAGATTATTGTACGTTGCTTTCATTTGATTTTCGCTTTAATTTGTCTTGCATTTCTCCGAACAATGTGCAATATCTAAAGTAATTAATTCAATTATTTACTGTATACGAGTACATACAATAGAGATAACAAATTATACCTGAAGGGGTTGAAGCAACAAGCATGCTTGAGCATCTTGCGCATGTCGGCAATCTTCCCACGATGCATGCTATCTAACTGTTTACCTACCCAGGTAGCAAGGTGTCGTCATTATAACGTCATTTTAAGGTCATTTCTCGTCATATGACGTCAGTCAACTAAATAATGACGTAACACAGACGTGATACTTACCCTGCAGCCGTGTGATTAATTAGCTTCTTGACCACGCGTTTCACGTGACAAGCGCGTTACACGAGCACGTCGTGTGTCTTGTGTGTGAACAGATTCGCTAGGGCAAGCGGAGATCTACATCGTCGTGGCTCTTCTAATCGGCTTTATCACCGTGGTAATCGGATGCTGGCTGTCCGACAATTGCTGGTCACCGGAACCGGAGGGGGTGGTAACCCTCGCATAGCCTAGTGCCGACTTCCGTTCCTCTAGGCGATAACAACTACCACGACGCCCCTCCTACAGGATTCTTCAGGACCTCGGCCGCTATCCGGATCATCGACGCGGTAACGCACCTGGCAATCATCGGCCGTTGCTCGACATCAATGACAATGACACGCTGTTGCGCGTATGAGATTCACGTATCAGGGAGACCTTCCTTGTCGAGGAGGCATCGATCGATGCTTCTAATGCTTCCTCGCAAATTCCTGCTCGCGAAGGGCGGGCTTTCGAGCAGAGTCGGTTCTTGAATGTAAAAAAAATTAAAGGAAAAACGAGATAAGAAGAAAGAGATTCTGAAAATGTTTGCTTCACACTGTAATCAATTTTTAAAATTCACACAAAATTCACGCAAAATTCGACGCACGTCTTTTCCAAGCGATAATCAAAAATTGGCGTATTAATTCAACACGAAAAGTTATGCCGCAGCATTTTATACATAGCGAATACGGCTTGTTATATCGAAGTAATATGATCTCTAAAAGACTGACTCTCCGCAGTTGTAAGTCAGTTCTCCTTTCGCGTCGTTATAGCCAAGGGAAGAGATTTTCTTAAACGTGATTAACATAATTAGATATATGCTCTGGAGCGTGTCTAGATTCGAACGCGGACAGTTCCATTGAGGATATTGAATGTTCCATGTCATCCATTTAACGGTTAATTTAATTAATGCCTAATTATAAGCAGGCATTGATAGAGCGTCCAGCGCATTGTTACGGAGTACTTGTGATGGATATCAATATTATTATCTTATTACGCAATTAAATGTCAGAATCTACGACTGCCGGGATAATTGATCTTCCGCAAAGCGCAAGTTACGATTTGCAAAATTAAGACAGATTTATATTCAGATTTGATTATGATAAATACCAAAGGAGAGATCTTTGAAATAAAGTATCTTGAATACATCTGCGTTATATATCACTACACAAACGCCATTTGATAACAACACAATCATCGATTGAAACCAACGCGCGTTCTCAGTCAGTCAGTCAGTCTATATACTTTTTTACGATAAAAAAATCTCAGGTCACTTACCTAAGCTTCCAAATGACTCTTGAAGATTCGACTTCAGCTTATCCAAGTGCTCGTGACTTCCATCGTCTTCGGCAAAGTAGAACCGACTTTTTTTTTACGACCGGCAGAGAATCGCGCTTTCCAATTTTAAAGTGAGTTCGAAGGATCCTCATCCGTAAAAAGAGTTTGCGTCGACACTTGGACGTATGTCCGTCCAGATGTGAAATCCGATCGGATTTAACGGGTTTGTATGCGCGAACGGACGGATTGCAGGGAAGTTCTTATATTGCGGTAATATCGCGAAGTTGCTGCATCAGATCCGCCGACGGCCCCAACGAACTTGCAGCCGCTCGCAAAGTCCGAAATGGGTCAACAGCCGTGGCGGCTCTCTTCCTCGCTCACCGATGGCTCGTAATGTCATTAAAGTGTATGGCATCGAGAGACGAGCGGAGAGGCGCACCATTCGTGCCCGTCGATTCTCCAAAGCCCGCGGCACGGATTTGCGCGGCAATGGTTTCTCCCACATGTCTTAATCATCGCATTCCGCATATATGATCTCGATCATGAACTACTGTGTTGGCTATGAAACCCATCGGGAATGACTCTAATTCGAGTTAATTCTCCACGTACTCTCGTCGTAGTATCCTCTCGAATTTTGCCACTCTACATTATCTCGCTATTGATTTCTCGTTAATTTTCATTGGTTCACGGACTTTGTCACTTAACGTATCATTATAAAACTGATTTTCCTCTCTCGTATTGTTATTAACAAAATTCGATAAGATCTTATGCAATATATATAAAGTTTTTTCGAATTTTATCGCTCCTAATTGGATAGGCGGCTGATATAATCGATCGCAACTCAAAAGTCATTGATACATTTTTTAACGCTAATCCGATGTATCTTGAATAAGAATGTTTCGATATTAATCATTAGAAATGTGACTATTCCAGATAAACGAATTGTTTTTTAATGGAATTATTCAGCTTTCCCTCGTACAATATCAAGAATTTGTCCAATTAATTCTCTTACGTAATTGATCATATATTGTATAGTTCGCCATAGAATTTATTTATATTATCACGTATCAATTACTTCGTAAAGAGACGACTAACATATCTTATGTGTGTCGGGGATTTATCAAACTATAGATCAGTTAATTACTGCACTAGAATCACGTAGAATCGAGTATTGACTTAACGGCGTCGGGAATGGCTCAATACGATTAACTGAGAATGTCGGGGCTGTATATCAGTTTTACTTCACAAGATGTCTCACGGTGTGGCAAACACACAGTAGAATTATTTGCACGGTCTATGCCGAATTAATGAAATTCAATAGACGAGATGTAATTGGCATACTGCTCGCGCATGTCTCTGTTTAACACTAGCACGATGTCGTCTTTCGCGTTTCGCACGTGCTTTGTGTTTTGAAATTCAATATATTTTTAATAATAAGTTCCATTGTTTCTTTATGTTACTCGGCTTTTTAATTTAACTTTTAATCCGATTTCGTCGTAAGATATTCCGTTGCGCAGATTGATAAGTTCTTCTGTGCACATACATTTTAGCTTTTAATAAGATTTTAATTTATTTAATAATTTTCTGAAATATTACCGTTATACTGTTGAAGAGATTCATTAATAATTTCAAGAAAACAATTTAATAGATGATGAATATAGATAAGCTATATAATACTTGATTAGCTTTCTTATGTGGAATCACTGCAGCGATTGCGGTAACGAATGAACGAATATATCCAAAAAAACGCTGCATTTATTTGAGCTTCATAAAGTTTCAAAAGTTATTTTAACGGATATATTTCTATTATTTCTAATCATTGCAATATTTCTGCAATACAAAATAACTATCTTTTAAATTAATTATATGTAACATTTTTTATCCAGCTCCTTTTTCATGAATATTAAGCTATTAAGAAGTAATTATTAAAATCTTTTACAAATTTATTAGTAGACGTTACAAATGTATATTTGACATTAAAAAACACAGATTTTTTTTTAAGGGAAGATAATATTCCAAATATGAATAAAAATTTGCATACAAATCTATTGAATCATTAAGTCGAAAATAATGCTGGATTAATATGAAAATTTTATACGCCTGGCACCAGTAAGTGATTAAATACTACGCGAATTCTGGGGAAAAAAAAAACGGAGACAGATTGCAATATGCTAATATCACGCTTTCAGTTCTAGCTGGGAAATTGAAAAATTCCATTGTGTTGGGATGGTATTTTAGGTAGATTTGATGCCCTCGGGTACCCACCAACGCATGCCCGTGACATATGCAAAAATAACAAACAAGACGCAGATTTCTACACGTAGTGCACGACGGTAGTAGACAGCCACGATATATCGTCGTCCAAAATGGGCGCCGTTGCTGTCGAATCAACAGTCTTGTTTTTTTTTTCTCACTTTCCCTCTCTCTTTCTTTCTATTCCTCGTATTTTGTACCAGCGTATGGACGAGCGAGCCGCATTGACAGACTAATTAACCCGGAAGCTCTCCACAGGGTCCTGTGCATCGCGTTTATTTTATTTGTCGCGCGAGATCCTGCGGGCGCGTACGCATGCCCGCTGATCGATTAATTGAATTTTGATGGACTTCGACAAGCGCTTGATGATCACAAAGGACAATGAATTACGTTCCTAGTAGATATTTTATTATAATTTATGGCGACAGTCTTTTCGAAATATTAAATCTTTGAAATGAGATCAAGATAATGTTATAAGCAGATATATCGTGAAAATGTAGAGCAATAATTTTTAGATCTGACGTTTTTAGGGGAAAATATCATTTATATTAATTGTCAACTCTCTTGCAACAAATTTGCAATCGCGAATTAATAATTTTATATTCTTCGAGTTACAGTTGATATTGATCTTTTTATTCAAAAACCATTATTTTCATCCAAGAAATCTCTATTTCTTTTAAATCTCTGTACACACATAATATGGTACATAGCTATATACTACGATTTTTCATTACATCATACACATATGCCCAATATATATTTTTGCTCAAGTAACATTTTCTACTCGCATTTGGTAAATTGTCGAGCATGTAACGTGAAATATCGCTGTAGTATCGAAAAGAGTTAACCGTCATCGCGACTACATATTTCGCTGATGAAGATTCCAACGGCGCCTTCAGCAGGCGATGTGAATTATAACGGACGATACGAACCGGACATCCTCGAGTGCGCGATCATCGTATCCGCGCCGAGGGCGAGAACGTAACATGGAGTTGTGTTGGCACAAGTTCGCGAGCTTCGTAAATCACACCTGACAGTAGCGTCGCGTCCCCAGTGTACTCGCGTGTACGCTTGCCGAATACGCTTGGACAATCCACGCGTTCCGTATAGACCGCCCGGTTTCCGATGTCTCTCGACCGAGAATCTTTCCCTCCGATGGCTCGTAATGTCATTAAAGTGTATGGCATCGAGAGACGAGCGGAGAGGCGCACCATTCGTGCCCGTCGATTCTCCAAAGCCCGCGGCACGGATTTGCGCGGCAATGGTTTCTCCCACATGTCTTAATCATCGCATTCCGCATATATGATCTCGATCATGAACTACTGTGTTGGCTATGAAACCCATCGGGAATGACTCTAATTCGAGTTAATTATCCACGTACTCTCGTCGTAGTATCCTCTCGAATTTTGCCACTCTACATTATCTCGCTATTGATTTCTCGTTAATTTTCATTGGTTCACGGACTTTGTCACTTAACGTATCATTATAAAACTGATTTTCCTCTCTCGTATTGTTATTAACAAAATTCGATAAGATCTTATGCAATATATATAAAGTTTTTTCGAATTTTATCGCTCCTAATTGGATAGGCGGCTGATATAATCGATCGCAACTCAAAAGTCATTGATACATTTTTTAACGCTAATCCGATGTATCTTGAATAAGAATGTTTCGATATTAATCATTAGAAATGTGACTATTCCAGATAAACGAATTGTTTTTTAATGGAATTATTCAGCTTTCCCTCGTACAATATCAAGAATTTGTCCAATTAATTCTCTTACGTAATTGATCATATATTGTATAGTTCGCCATAGAATTTATTTATATTATCACGTATCAATTACTTCGTAAAGAGACGACTAACATATCTTATGTGTGTCGGGGATTTATCAAACTATAGATCAGTTAATTACTGCACTAGAATCACGTAGAATCGAGTATTGACTTAACGGCGTCGGGAATGGCTCAATACGATTAACTGAGAATGTCGGGGCTGTATATCAGTTTTACTTCACAAGATGTCTCACGGTGTGGCAAACACACAGTAGAATTATTTGCACGGTCTATGCCGAATTAATGAAATTCAATAGACGAGATGTAATTGGCATACTGCTCGCGCATGTCTCTGTTTAACACTAGCACGATGTCGTCTTTCGCGTTTCGCACGTGCTTTGTGTTTTGAAATTCAATATATTTTTAATAATAAGTTCCATTGTTTCTTTATGTTACTCGGCTTTTTAATTTAACTTTTAATCCGATTTCGTCGTAAGATATTCCGTTGCGCAGATTGATAAGTTCTTCTGTGCACATACATTTTAGCTTTTAATAAGATTTTAATTTATTTAATAATTTTCTGAAATATTACCGTTATACTGTTGAAGAGATTCATTAATAATTTCAAGAAAACAATTTAATAGATGATGAATATAGATAAGCTATATAATACTTGATTAGCTTTCTTATGTGGAATCACTGCAGCGATTGCGGTAACGAATGAACGAATATATCCAAAAAAACGCTGCATTTATTTGAGCTTCATAAAGTTTCAAAAGTTATTTTAACGGATATATTTCTATTATTTCTAATCATTGCAATATTTCTGCAATACAAAATAACTATCTTTTAAATTAATTATATGTAACATTTTTTATCCAGCTCCTTTTTCATGAATATTAAGCTATTAAGAAGTAA